ATCGGTTGAGCGCTTTCGAAAACGTTGTCTTACCATAGCAATCATTTTTTACTTTCAAAATGGATGTGTTTGAACGGATTTTCACTGTTTTTTGTAATGAATGCGTTAAAGGAGCGGTGAATAATGGAGTATTGCACTGCGAATCTTATAGGACAATGGACTCCAAAAAAAGAAGCCACGTAGCAAGTGGTAACACGCCAAACAAACCGACTTTGAAGCGCGCACGAGATTCGAGGAGAAACATCAGAGGACCTCTGGACTTTTCCTCAGAGAATGTAGAGAATCTAGAACCACTAGTAAACATTGGAGGCTTTGTTAGTCCGAAGATACAGAGGAGGGGCTCTCGTGGAAGTCCGGGCATCAAGGTTACTTAAGCTTATTGCTATTGTTCCTTGTGTCATTTAACCTTGTGCATTTTTAAATGCGGAGAAGTTGATCTGAGTTCTTTCGTAGTTTCAACTTACAAAGTGTCTTTCCTTTTTTAATGTTACTTAAAATTTATTTATTCCTGTGTTATTGTATTCTGTTTTAACTTGGAAACAGTCTGACTTGGAAATTGACTTGTACTTTTTGCTATAAATATGCAATTGAGCTTATTTATTCTTCAAGGAAAATCAAGTGGTCTTCTGAGTCAGGACAGTTGTATACATGTAGCTTTTTTGTTATCTTTTCCTAGGTTATCAGCTGGGGCATAAAAAAATCACCTCTGGTTGTGTCGGCCATTAAATCACCTGTGCGGTTGCACAGGTGGACATTTTTTGAGGAAAGGGCGTTGGTGGAATTTGTTGGGCTAGCATCCATTGATGCTATCGTTTTCCTGAGAGATTATAACCAAGGATATTTTGTTGTTGTTGTTTTTTAGATATCAGTGCCAGAGGACTTCAAGACTTGGTACGAGACAATGTGTGCTGAGTTCCCAACAAGATTCAGCCGGCTATTTAGGGGGCCTATGTGGAGTGGTGTCACTGTGAATCAACAGAAAGATCCTCTCACGGTGAGCACAACAAGTACACAAAAAAATAAACAAACTAACAAAAGGAAAGATTGATTATTCTATTCTATTGGATCTATTTTATTGGATTACTCTATTTCTTGCCCTTACTTTATTCCTGACAGGCACGTGTAAATGTTGCATCACCAAGCATAAGGACAGTAGAGAAGCAAACAGCTGAGGCACCTTTTACTTGTGAGCCTACAGTTCAGGTTAGAAATGAAATTTTGCAAATAATTTTAAACAATGAGATGTCATCATGCTAGTGGCATGAATGTCATAACATTCTATATATTAATGTTGCAATACTGAAATTTGGCTGTGTATAAAAGTGGGACGGGGACAAGGGGACGGGGACATCGGGACGCGTGTGTGGGGACTTGGGACTTGGGGACGCGAGACGAGGGACTTGAGGACATCAAGTATGGGACGTGGGGACGTGTGGGACGGGGACGCAGGGACGTCAAATACAGGGACGCAGGGGACGCGAAATAGGAATAATTATTGCAAAAGTCGGAGGTAAATGCGATATCAGTCACTTTCCTCGTGAATATGTTTTGGTGAGGGCAACCCACCCTGCCCTCCTTAGGGTTCCTCCATACCTGTTTACGAAGCGAAGATTCGGCGAAGACCCCCTGCATTGAAGAAAATGAAACCGTTGTCCTTGTCTTCTTGCTGATGGAATATTGGAGCCCAAAGCAGAGTAGGGTGGGTTGGGGTCGCCAAAATTTTAGTAGAACAGCATTCGATTCCAAATAAATAAAAAATTAAGTGGCATAAGCGAGCTTTGAAGCCCGAAGTGCTAGCTCCGAAATCCATCGCCTGCACCACTAATCCACGGGGCATTCAAATATTGTAGCAATATTTATTGTGTCCTACATATTTTTAGGGGAAAACCTAACAGTAAATGCTTGCTAACAGTACTTAAAGGTTGATTTCCACTAACGCGTTTTTGGCTATGCATGTTAACGCAAGTAAATTTTTATCACGTAAATAAGATAGAGGCAAGACATAAATTGTTGAGATTAAACGTGAAGTTGAGTGAGATTCTACTTTTACGCTTAGGTGCGACCTTTCAGACATTGCCTCTCAGTTTTATTTTCGAACGTAAATTTTACGTAGGCGTGGAAAAATTGCGCGACAGTGGAAATCAACCCTAACTCTAATCACGATAGTCAGTGCGCTTACTCCTATTATAAAGAAACATTTTGTGTAAACATCATAAGGTGTTCAATGTGGTTTTGGAAGATGGAATCATAAATAACACATTTTCACGAAGAAAGAGATATTGCATTTACCTCCGACTTTTGCAATAATTATTCACATCCCGCGTCCCCTGCGTCCCTGTATTTGACGTCCCCGCGTCCCCGTCCCACACGTCCCCACGTCCCATACTTGATGTCCTCAAGTCCCTGACGTCTCGCGTCCCCAAGTCCCAAGTCCCCACACACGCGTCCGGATGTCCCCGTCCCCTTGTCCCCGTCCCACTTTTATACACAGCC